GGGCAGGGGCACCTTTGTGAAAATCAGGAAGTCATGCCCAGGGGAGCAGGAGGCCTTCCCTCTGTCCACCAAGGCCATGGGGGCCTGACCATGTGCCACTCTGCCCTGGCAGATGGGTCTCTGGTGAGTGGGAGCCGTGCAGTCAGAGCTGTGGGCGCACAGGCACACAGGTCCGCTCCGTGCGCTGCATTCAGCCACTGCACAACAACACCACCCGCTCTGTGCACACCAAGCACTGTAATGACGCCCGGCCCGAGGGCCGCCGGCCCTGCAACCGTGAGCTCTGTCCTGGTCGGTGGCAAACCGGACCCTGGTCCCAGGTAAGTAGTCACTCTGGCCCCCTGGCCCTGTGTTCTCGGCCCCCAAACCAAGCTTGGGTAGGACCGAGGTGTCTGTCTGGGTACAGTTTGTGCCATAATCACACCCTGTAGGTCTCAGGGCACCCATGGTGACAAGCAGTCCGTGCTCTGGAATGTGTGTCCTCAGGGCCAGGGCTCCCCTGTGTTCTAAGTGCCTGGAATCCCAGGGGGCTGAGGGTAGTTGAGGCTCCTGGTTACTCAGAGGTCCCAGATTCTCATCACTTGGGGTGGATGTGTGGTCCAGACAGCTGACCAAGGTGGCAGGAGGGGTCAGGGACAAAGGAGGGCTCAGACTCTCGCTGGGAAGAGCAGCAAGGTTGGTCTCCAGGACTGAGGAACAGCTCTGGGGGCAGGACTGAGCTGGCCAAGCACTGACCCCAGCACACAGCCCAGACCAGCCTCAGAGCCAACTATCTCTGGAAGGACCACGGACCCCGTGGGTGGTGCATGCATGGCTGTTGATTTTGACCAGGAATGCTCAGAGCACATTCAGGGAGAGAGAGAAATGCATGGCAAAGGCCAGAGGGAGCCCAGCACATGCCTCCAGGTGCCCCTTCCAATGCATTCACCAGGGAGGCACCTAACTCTCCCAGCAATGACATGTGACAGCACACCACAACTACCAACCCAGAACCTCCCCAGCCTGGGTGTCCAGGGATTCCCCTGGGGGTCAGTCCCACAGGCCTACAGTGCCTGCTCTGGTGGCCATCACAGAAGCTTCAGGCCCGACAGCAAGGCAGGTGCTCAGCAGAAATGCTGCTGCTGGCGTTACTGACTGGCGCAGCACACCCACAGGCCTCAGGCAAGGAGAGTATTCTCACCAGACAGGACACTCCATGGACTTGGCTTTCGGGAGCTGCCCAAGGGCCAGTCCTGCACACAGGCCTTTTTTTTTTTTCTGACTCCACCATTTCCCACCCACAGGACAAGGACTTGAAAATTGTCCTTGCTCAGGGCAGGGTGGGTTGTCAGCCAAGTCAGGGGGCTGGGTGTGACTGCTACTGCTGGCTCCTCCCCACAGAGAAGGCAGGGCATGGAGGGCGGGTGGCAAGGGCTAGAGGAGCCATCCAGGGTACTAGTAGTGCAGAGCCTTGTGTGGCAGGAAGCTGAGGAAGCCTCCTGGACTCAGAGCTTTCCCAGGGGTCCATAGTGCACAGAAGGTTTTCCTGGGTTGGCCTCCTATAGCCAGAGCATTCAGAAATGTCAGGTCCTGCATAATCGCTTGTACCCACAGTAACTCAGAGACATAAGCATGAATGTCCCCTCCTCAGAGTCCCAGGAGACTGAGGCACCTGCCCGAGGCTGGGCAGGCCTCTAGTCCACACCCCCCTGCCCCTCACCACCTCCCACATGTAGTGGGGTCACCTGTGTATGGAGCTCTTCCAGCTCCAGCCCGGCATCTGACTGGTGACTCTCCATCTGCAGTGCTCGGTAACCTGTGGCAATGGCACCCAGGAGCGGCCTGTGCTCTGCCGCACAGCAGAGGGCAGCTTCGGGATCTGCCGGGAGGAGCGACCTCAGACAGCAAGGATCTGCAGGCTGGGCCCCTGTTCTGGTATGCCCTCTGCTGCCCTATTCCCTGCACTCCAGCGTGCAAGCCCCAAGGCCAGGCAAGGGTGGGGAGGTGCTGGTCCAGGCAAATAGTCTTCCCACAAGTGGCCCAGATTCAGCATCCCTGACCTTGAAGTAGAAGCTGAGACCTCCCAGGTTGGGGCTGGGCCCTCTCCCTTGTGGGAAATGGAAGGAACAGCCCCTCTCTGGGCCAGGCCAGGCCCTGGTGAAGGATGCAGCAGATTCAGCCCAGCCTGCCTTTCTGACACTCCTTGTTGGTCTGGGAGATGGAGCCAGACTCACAGTGACTGCACAGCAGGCTTGGCCAGACAGGAGCCCTGTGTCCTGCTCAGAGAACAACCAGAGCAGCAGCTCTGTCTACATGCAGACAGCTTGGCAAGTGCCAGACACATTACCTCTTTGGGTCCTGGGAACAGCTCAAGACATAGACCCCAGTACAAGTTCTGTCTATGGGGATGGGAGCCCAGAGCGGGTCAGGTGTGCCTGCCCCAGCTGTGGGGAGAGGTGGTAGGTCCAGGGGCACTTGGTCCCTGCTTCCTTCCCACTGGAGCAGGCGGCAGGCACATGGCTCGGCCTTAGAGCAGACTGGAGCAGTGCACAGACCAGACACAGCCCCGTGCTATAGCTGACACCCAGGGGCGGAAGAGAGGCAGGAGGCTGAGCCCACTTGCCACGAAGGACAGCCTTGAATGCCCTTCTGTTGACCTTCCCAAGGACACAGGGATCTGTGGAACAGATGGGCGGGGCAGGGGGCACTGGCCTGGTGCCTCAGCAACTGCAGCCCCTTTCTTTTCCCTCTAGGAAACATCTCTGACCCCTCCCAGAAGAGCTATGTGGTTCAGTGGCTGTCCCGACCGGACCCCGATGCGCCGGTCCAGAAGACTTCGTCAAGTAACCGGCCCGTTTATAACTCTGCCTCTGCCCTCCAGTGCATGCCCTGCGCCCTGTGGAGCTTGCCCTGGGCTCCCTTCCTCTCTCTATATGGAAAATACCCCTGACTCTTTCTGGGGGCTCTGGTTGAATCTGTCTTCTCCTGGGCCTCTGTGCTCGACCACCTCCTCCGGAGCCACCTAGCTGCCTGGCCAGGAGGGCCAGCCTCAGAGGCATGGCCCAGGCAGTGGCCTCTTGCAGGGGGGCCAGGACCTGGCTGGTGATGGCTTATAAAGGGTCAAAGATCTGTCATGGTGCTGGAGGGGCCAGAGGCCAGGGTATGAATGTGACCATTTGGTGACTGCCTCGCGGGGCCATGGCCCTCCAAGCTGGAGCTGCAGGTTGGAAGTCAAGGGGCAGCCTGCCCACCCCCTTTCAACGCACCTACCACCATGAGGCCAGAGTCTGAAGGCCTGTGGTTTTGCACTGCTGTGAGGGGTGGCCAAGCCCAAAGGGTCTGGCAATGTATCAGGGGCTTCCCACTGCCTTGCTGCTGCTGCTGCTGCTGCTGCTGCTGCCCCTGTGCTCAGTGTGTCCTCCTGACTCGTGTGACTGTGGCTGCTTCCTGTGGGCCTTGTGTCTGACTCACACAGCCCTTGCCCTCACTCCCTGCCCTCTCGGGCAGGTTTGGGTCAAGTGGAGGAGGTGGGGATGTGTCCCTCTGTGGTACGTAGGGACGTACCACCTCTCCCACTCTCTGTCCATTAGTTCTGATGGCCTTTTCTCATCATGCACACATGACCCATCCACAGGGGTGAACGAGTGAGAATGAGAGACTGTCTGATACAGATGCGGCCACCTGCCAGTGTGAACAACTACAGAATTACCTCAATTTTTATTGCTTTTTTGCTTAGACAAAACTATGTAGAAAATGCCTTAAAGTTGAAAGGTAACAGAATTGGCTGCTAACTCCAGCTTCAGCAGGGCTATGAGCCAGGTAGGAGGCCAGCAGTGCAGGTGTGGGGGAGGAGGTCTGAGTTACCCACCTGTGGCCAAGGATAGGGTTTCCCAGGCAGGCAGCCTGGCTGCCAGGGCCCCTTGACCTGAGCCTACAGGCCCCTGTGTTGGAAGGAGACTCGCTGGCCAGTGGGCGCTGACTGTTGCTGGAGCCCTTGCGGCGCTCCCACAGCTCTGCCTTACTCCAGAGGGTGATACGTGTGGCCCCTCAGTGACCCATGTAGCACCCCTGCTGTCATACCCCCGCACGCCCTGCACTGTCCACCTGTGCATAGCAGCCCACCAACCCCACCCACCCTCCAGCGCTGATTACTGTTATGTAAATACTCGGTGTGTAACACAACTAACTCTCACGACTGTTAACTTTCACCTTGGACTAGGCCGTGCGAGTGACACAAGTGACTCTGGGAAGGTGCAGGGCACTCCTGGACATTGTTATTTCTGTCTATATGCACTTTGGTTTATCAGGGATATTTTATTAGTGTTTTCTATGTATTTATGACGTATTCTATTGGTTCCATTGTTGTTGCTTTTCTGGTATTTTTATGAGACCACATGAGCGTGTGCCAAAGTGACTGTGAAAATGACCTTTTATTCTTACTAATGCTGGAAAGGCTTCTTGTCATGCAGCCCACAAATAAACGAAATAAAAGTTCAGTGAAACAGGCACTTGGGTTTGGCAAGCTGCTGGCTGGCTCCTTCTGTCCTCTCCATGGCTAAGGGCACAGAGCCATGGGTGCCCTTCTGTCCCATCAGTTCCTTGGTTTCTGATTCGTGTGACTTTACTAGCCCCTTTCCCCTGCCCAATGGAGATGTTTAGGGTACCTCTCCCACTGAGACAGCTCCCTCTGTGCTATGGAGACACTCCACCATGATTTTGAGTTCTGAACCATCCAAGCTAAACAAGTACCTCCAGGAATGTCTGTGTTCCCTCCCCATCAGTGCTCTTGTGTCAGGAAGAGGGGGCTCAGAGCCAGTGGAGAGGAAATGGGAGGTCCGTATCTGAGATAGGGCTAGTCCAGGTCACAGTGCCCTGAGCCACCCTCAGGACACCACCTGGCTCCTGGGGCAGCCCTCAGCTCTCTGTTCAGGAAAGGAGAGGTGCCCGTGTGGCTCAGGAGAGTCTGAATCAGGAGAAGGCAAGGCAGCTGTGGCTCTGGGCATCTGGCCTATGACACTCACAGGTGTGTGTACTCATTGCATCTGCCGTGTCTCCTGAGGCCTGTGTGTTCGATCACCTTGCTAACAAGGATCAGACAGAAAGCCAGGGTCCCACAGAGACTGCCTCATCTGGGTCTGAATGGTGCTCTGCCAGTGAGTATCTCTCTTCTCCCTTTCCTGTGAAGGAGTCCCCTGCAAGGAGGAAGATCATGAGAAAGTATATCACAGGCCACCCTGCCCCGTGAATGTGGACTTTGGGGCACAGTGCCAAGCCCCAGGTGTCCGTTTGCAGGGTAGGGGTCACAGTAGTTGTGGCAGAGTCCAGCCTTCCCAGAGCTCTGGCCATTGAAAGGGATTCCAGCTCAAGGGACACAAGGAGACCAAGACAACTTCCGTTGGATGGAACTATGTCTGCTCAGTCTCCTTGCCAGGACAGATTAGCAGAAACCCCCACTACAGCGGGCCTGGCCAGAGCTGCAGGCAGCTGAGGGACATGTGCCCGGGAGATTTTTCACACAATCTTTAGAAAGAAGAAATGGTACGTGACGACCAAGAAAAGAGGATGACATTTTCTCCATCCCAGTCTTTTCCCAAGTGTGGGGGACAAAAGTGGTTTCAGTTGCTCACCAGCATGGCCAAGCACCACGCCACAGCCTGTCCTCGTCCCCATGTCCCTCGTGGCCACCTCAGTTAAGTCTCACCTGCACGAGTTCCAGCATCTCTCACGGCATGCTTGCTCCTTGCTCTCCAACTCAGACCCCTGCAGTCAGGAGTGCCTCCCTGGGATTGGATGAATTACAATTGGAATTACAAATTGACTTAAGAGGATGTAAAACTTTCTTTGTGTCTTCATTAGGGTGACCTTTTTACCCCACTAGCTTTATACAAATGGTAGTAGTATAAAATTTTCTTCTAACCCACTGCCTTGCAGAGTGGACAGTTTGTTCCCTGCAAGGTGGTGGGTCTCACCAGGTCATGGCTGCTGGAAATGGCTGAAGATCAAGTATCATGAACTGGAAGTGACGATCTCGGTAGAGATCCTGAGCCAGTCGATGTCACTCAGTCTTCAGTGGCATAATTTCATCTTCATGTCAGAGGGCTCTCTGCTCAGTGATGCTACTTAAAAATACACAGTCATTGACGTCCTTTTAAGACTGGCGGGTCACGATTGTTTTGTAATTTATCTAGGCTGATACTAGCCTGGCCAAGCTCTCAGCCAGCAGCTGTCTCAATTATTTGTTTATTCACTGACTTATTTTAATTTAAAAAAAACTTAAAGGAATGCAGCCCATTGTTTAAAGACCCAGAAGTCCAACATCTTAGCTGGCTGGAAGGGAGGCACCCTGAAGGGGAAGCCTGGTCCCAGCCCAGCTGAGGCAGGGAGAGGACGGCTGTCCCAGTGGGTCCATGACTCAGTCCCAGTGCCAAGTGTTTTCTGTGGCCAGCTCTGCCCCCAGGCCCTGGAACACCACCAAGCACCTGACCAGAAGTTGGCAAACTTTTTCTTTAAAGGACCACATAGCAAATATTTTAGGCATTGGGGGGTCATGTGGTCTCCCTCGCAACCACTCAACTCTGCCTTTGTAGAGGGCAAGCAGCCAAATGAATGGCGGTCCTACTCCAATAAAACCTAATTTACAAAACCAGTTAGAGAGACTGACTTGCTGGGAGGGTGCAGAGGGCCAGCTCCTGCCCTAGACTGCTGTGATGCCTGCTTCTCAGGATCCCAGCCTAGTGGGAGACAAGTGAGGGAGATGCTTAATTCCGACCTTGTTATGAGCAAGGGAAAAGGCTCCAGGGACAGGAGAGGGCATTGCCTGTGGCGGGACTGGCCCCACTCCCCACAGTGCTGCCAGGCCAGGCTCCATCCTCATCCTGTGCCTCTGCCCCTCCCCGAGCCCAGCCGATGATTAGAGTGTGTACCTGCTCTAATCAAAAGCTCCCTTGGGTCTCCCTGAGGCCTGGAACCAGTGGTTTTCACCCAGCTCACCTCAGTGGGGGCCAGAAATGGGATGGACTCCAGGAATGGGTGTGGCCACCAAGGAGGGGCATGGTCAGGGAGGGGGAGGCTCTCTAAGCCCCTCCCAAGCTGTCCCATCATCCCCCGCCACCCCGGCAGAGTCAAGCAAGACCACTCTGATTTCGTGTGTCTCATAGTTTGGGTATCTGTATACAATTTCATCTAACAGTTTTAAAACCCTGAAAGCCATGTCTCTAGATCTTCCAGTTTGGTTTCTGGAAACCGCCCTCGGTCCTTGCCCACCCGTCTGCTTCCGTGGTGTGAGCCTTTTTAATGTATTAGCTCAGTGTCAAGGTTAGGAAGATAGCCTTTTCCAGAAGAGCCGATCTGTATTTATTTCTTCACATTGTGGTCCTGAAGCCAGCCACACTTAGAAGCTCAGAACCCGAGTGGCTCCCTGCTCTGGTGGCTCCCTGCTCTGGTGGTACGTGCTTCTGTGTGTTCTTGCCTGTTACATGGCTGTGGTAAATGCATAAATTTCCTTTCCTGGATTTCCTCAGTTATTTACATTTATATTGCTCACAATTGCATATTTACTTGTTCTGGGGATAGAGGGACATGCAACACAGCTCTGGGTTCTGCCCTTTGGAGCTTTCGGGATAATGGGCAAGTCATCTGTCACCTTATCTGACAGTTAAATGTGAACCCACTACTGCAATGCAGTGCAGGGAAGGGCAGAGTTGCAGCCCCAGAAGACCCAGACTGGTGGGATTTAATGACCTGGGGCTAGGGGAGTTAGCAATGCTTGAGAGGCAGCTAGAGGGAGAGGGAGGCAATGTGTTTGCAAAGGCCTGTGGCCAGAAAAGCACCGTTCAGCTGGAGGCCTGAGCGGAGCCAGAGAGGTGAGATGGACAGGTCTTCGGTAGAAAAACAACCAGGTAAAATGCACAGGCCTCATTCAGAACAGTAACACGGCCACATCTCCAACTGAAAAACATTCTCACAGTAGACAGGCAGGCAGATGGTGCAGCCACAGCCCGTGGAGGTGGGAGAGGGGACTGTGGACGTACATATCCGAAAGGAGCAGGAGGAAATACTGGTGGCCTCAGACATGACTGGATGGGGTATGCATCTGAAAGGCCATTCTCTGAAACCAACAGTGCCTGAAGAGACCATGGGCTTAATCCAGACATGTGGTATCTCAGGCAGCTTAGGGACTATTGGGGTTACGAGGTATCTAGGTGGAAACTGTGTCCATAAACCTAAACCTTGGGGAGTTTGGGGTTGGCATGCAGCTAAGTGGCCACACAGATGGGTGTCAGAGCCAGGAGCCCTGAATGCTGCAGGGCTGGCGCAGTGACTCTGCAGGAGGTCTCCCATCCCAGGACTGCCCTTCCACCCCTCTGTCTTCCCTCTCAGTCAGAGACAGAGACAAGGTCAGCCTAGGAGAGTGAGGGGAGGGAGGGCACAGCCGGGTTTCTGTGGAGAAGGCTAGGGTCCTTGCTGTGGAGAGGAGAGTGTGTGTGAGCAGAGAAACACAGTAGGCAGAGTTGGGCCCACTAAGGTTAATGATTGGAAATTTGTTTATAAGATCAAATACCCCATGATGTGATTCATTCTTTCACGCTGAATGAATTTTTGCAAATAATCTCAATTTTTGTGTAGTATGTGAAATGAGGTGATGGGGGAAAGGTAAAAGGAATGGGAATTTGGGAAGAACACAGAGAGTAAGGGTGAGAACAGGAGGAGCGGGATGGGCTGACTCAGTGTAGCTGCAGAGTCAGAGCTAGCCAGAAGAAGGCAGCCATGTCAGGGAGACAGCGCGGCCTCCAAGGAGAGTCGGGCTTCCTGAGGGCTGGACCGGGGATGACCAGTGTCCTGGTCAGGGAAGAGAAGGGAGGGCATGCTGGGCAGAAGGATTTGCCATGTGAAGACATCAAATGAGGAGCAGAGTACTGGGAAATGGCCAGATCCCAACGCACAGGGCTATGGTTAGATGGGGCAGGACAGGGCTCTCAGGTGCACTGAGGCAAGGGGAAGAAAGCCCACATAGGTGAGGGTAATATTTAACTTCCCTTTAGACACTTTTCAGAGACAATGATCTTTGAGGAGGTTGGGTAAGGATGGGAATGAAGGCGAGGAGCATAGGGAGGCCACCGCCAAGGCTCTGGTGCTTGCTCTGTCGGGTTTTAGGAATTGGTTCTTTTAGGTGTTGTTTTGTTGTAGTTACTGATTAGAGATTACTGCAGAGCCAAACTCTACCACCCAGTTTCATTGAGGTTGTCACAGGGACATCATGTGTGAAGATCTGCCCAAGCCCCATTCTGTAGCATGAGCGTGGAGTCATTCCTCAGGAATAGACAGGCCTCTTTCTGTCCCAGACTTGGAGGGACACTGCAAAGCCTGGACTCCAGGGGCTGCTAAGAGGAGGGGAGCCTGCTCACAGCTTGTGCACTGCACTCCAGGGATGGGTCCAGTGCACCTCTGAGGAGGAAGCCACACAGATTTCCTGTGTGGGCTCGCTTGCCTCTGCGCTGTCTCTGGGCTCTTTCTGAAGCCTCCTGCAGCAAGCTGCTCCCTGTGGGGGCATGACTTTTCCCTCATCTTGTCCTTCGGTTACTTGTTCCACTTTTCTCTTTCAGAGGGCCGCTGCCAAGGCGACAAGTCAATGTTCTGCAGGATGGAAGTCCTGTCTCGCTATTGCTCCATCCCAGATTACAGCAAGCTGTGCTGCAAGTCCTGTAACCTGCACGGCAACCTCACTGGCACAGACAGCAAGGCAGAGCTACCACCTGGGAAGCATAATGACATCGAAGAGCTCACGCCCACCCTCCCCATCCCCACCCTAGTCATGGATGCGCAGCCCCTGCCCAGCACGCCCCAAGAGGTGCCTGTCAATGCCTCCAGCACCAACACCACTAAGGATCACCCGGAAACCAACGCTGTGGACGTGCCCTACAAAATCAGTAGCCTGGACAACGAGGTCCAGCCACCCAACCTAATCCCTCGACGGCCAAGCCCATACGAGAAGACCAGAAACCAAAGAATCCAAGAGCTCATTGATGAGATGAGGAAGAAAGAGATGCTCGGGTAGTTCTAATAAAATGGAAAGGCAGCAGCAGTAGCATTTTTTTCTTGCTTATAGAGGTATTCCATGGGATGGCAAATCCTGTGTCAGGGCTTTGACATCAAAATTCCTGAGTCCAAAAAGTGTTCAGAGGACAGAGGGAGAATGGCAGGAGGATATATATGTTTATGTACATGGCTGTGAGCATGTGACAGTGGGAGAGCCCATGGGTGCCCGAGCCCCAGAGTGGGCGAGGCCCTCAGCTAGGTTGGGTGTGGCTAGATGGGAGTGTGGGCTCTGCAGCCTTTCTCTATGAGGGCAGACAGGCAGGCGACTGCCTCACACAGGCAGAAATTTGTTTCTGAACAGTAACTGGGACGCTTCTTTCCTCAGAGGTGGTATTTCCTTCCAATCCCCAGGCCTGGACATGAGCCCCATGGGGACTCTTAGGAGAAATGGTGACTTGTTTACAAACTGACCAGTCAGTTGAGATGAGCTCATTAAGGTGGAGGCTGTGACCTCCTGGGCCTTCAAGGACCAGGCTGGTGGCGAGGGTGAGTGTGACAGCTGGTGTGGGGACCCGGACCGACCTGAGAGCCACTATGAGTCAGTGGCTCAGTGCCACTGCCTCTGGGACAGCTGGTTCTACTGTCAGACAGCATGCTTTTTTACTAGTGGCCTAGATTTTTGTGTGAACATTCTCAGTCCCTAATGACCAGTTTAAGGAGGTCTGGGAGTCTGTTAGGGCCTGGAGCTGCTGGTTGCCAATTAAGGACTCAGGAGAAGCTATCTGACCTGTTTGGTGCTCACCAGCCGTGCTTAAATAGCTCAGCCTCATCTCAGCTGTGAAGCTGCCCACTTCTTCCCAGGAAAGCACTGAGAAGCCTATAACCTGGGCTTGAGGATAGATCTAAACAGCAGACTATATTTTCTGCAGGAGAAGCCAGGGGGGTGCACTCCCTGATCTCCTCTCCACAAACTCTGACCTTGCTGGCCCACTCCAGCCAGCCTGGCCTCAGCCCGAGCTGCCCAGAGAGGCTCCCCCCTTCCCTGAGTGCAGGGGAGGCTGTGCTGCAAAGCCCACTGAAGGGTCGAGGCCCTGGCTCTCCGAGGTGTCATGCCCGAGGGACCTGTGATGGGGCTTGGGTTTGCTCCTGAAGACCAGCCTCCCAGCCTCACTTGTGGGGATAGGCTTGCCCTGTGGAGCCCCCCAAGACCAGTCCTGCCCCCATTTCCATCCTTAGAAGTTTCAACAGGGAACTGCAAGATTTGTCTTCTGATGGCAGGCATTGGGTGGGAAGTGGGCAGAGCCTGCTGTACCTTTTGCTGTTCCCAAACTTTAACAACTACTATTTTCAGCAGAATAGTGTTTTGTAAGCAAGATTGTGAATGGGGGAGAAATGAGCAAGAGAAAGAGTGGGTGGGGATGGCTGGGAGGTCAATGGCTAATTTTTACCTATCCCTGCATTGCTATTAATATGCAGTTTAAACTTCCCAAAACTATCAGACCCTGGGAGCACATTAGCTCCTTAGCCAACCCTGACACATAATTCGTAGGCTTTTCATATCCACAAAAGTTCTAGACCTTTTTTATTCTTGCCAAAGATCTTAAAGAATTCTTTCTTGTCTAAGACCCCATTATATATATATGGATAAGAATGCCAAGGCTCAGGGTAACCGTGTGCCAGCTGCTTTATACTACACTGTGAGGTGCTCCGTCTATCTGAGCCTGTGTGTGTGTGTGGTATGTCTGTGTGTGTAGTCTGAGGCACAAAGAAAGGGTGTAGGCCATGGTGAGAACCATATCTGGGATGATGCATAACCATCCAACTGGATGATGCCGAGCCTCCTGGCCCCTGGCACAGCCTGCACCTCCCACCACCATCACCATGTCCCCCACACACTCACACCCATTCCAGTGTCTAAAGGTGCTTGTTGGTTTCTAAGAACCAAACTGGAGAAAATGGAACATCTCTCCTAGTATACCTTCTTCTTCAGTAAGATGGGGACTAAAGCACTTTTGCAGTCCTGTCGCTGTGATTGGGAAGTGGGCCTCTCTGCCTTCATTGGTTGAACCCCTAGCAGCTGGCGCTATTCACAGCCCGAAGCACTGGGTAGTTCTTCCTGGGTTTGTTCTCAAATTAAAGGAAGTTTGGGATAACTAACCCTGGCCCGGAGGCCTCATTGTGGGAACCCTCCATCCTCAAATCCTGGCAAAGCAGGACTGCATGTCTTTGAGCTGGATATCTTGTCAGAGAGGCCTCAGGTCGGGCATTGCCCAGAGCACCTGTCTTTTGCTGGAAGGAGAGAGATGCTCTTTGGAAGGTGCAGACCAGCATGGCCATGGCCCCGCATGCTGGACTCAGTGACTCGGACCATGTATCCAGAGCTCTCCAAAACTAGGCAACCCTCAGAGGTCTCCCTGTCCCAGGAACATGGTGTCACCCAGCTCTGAGAAACTGCACATCTCCACTGAGATTGGGACAATTAGAGAGCAGGCTTAGCAACAGTCCTGAGCTTCCAGAGCCAGCATCTATCCCTGTTTTGGGGGCTCCTGACACCAGGGGAGGACAAGCAGGTGTTCCTGCTGAGGTTCACAACACCATGTGAGACTCAGACACCCTCTGTCCACAGTTCTAAAAAATCAGCCAAAGGACCCGAGAGTCACTCTATGTTCACAGGAGACTTGTGTTAGCTGATATACTCCCTTTGGAAAGCCCATGGAATTTCACATATAAGCATTTCATTTTCATTCTAAGGTTTTTTGCTTATTCTTTTCTTTGTTTGGAGTATATAAGTGGTGCTCAATAGTCAGCCTATCAGATGAAGCATGTGAGTATGCACCCCTGGGGATAGGCAGCCGCCCCAGGGGTCATCACAGTGCTGAACTCCAATCACATCTTATCATACTTTTGTTTCCTGTATGGTAAAATTCGGTTCCTTGATTTTATAACTTATTAAAGCCAAAATGTCTGTTTTTGCACATCGTGACTGCATTTGTTTCTTACCTCAACTGCACTTGTCCCCTCGTCCCCCACTCTCAGCTTGAACTTGAGCAGATGGGAGGATGTGCTGCCCTCAAAAGGCCAAGAGGTGGGGGGTGGGGGTACCGGGAGGCCCTGAGCCAGGACCCTATGAAGGGTGAGAGGCAGTCTGAGGGGCCTCCCTCCTGCTGCCATGCTGAGTCAGCTCTCCAGGCACCCTGACTCAGCCCACAATCCCCAGGGGACCTTTCATTCAGGTTGGAGCTGAGACTCTGCAGACACCTCATTCTTCCTTCTCTGCTATAGTTAGGGCTTCTAGAAAAATACGAGATGTTGAGTTAAACTTGAATTTCAGAGAAGTAACCAATGATTTTTTAGTATCAGTATGTTCCATTTTTATACTAAAACATTTTTTGTTGTTTCTCTGAAATTCAAATTTGAGAATCCTGTACTTTAATTGCTAAATTTGGTAACTCTACCTGTAGAAGACAAGTCCCTGCCCTCTGGCCCCCTTGAAATGAGCAGGCACTGGGGAGAAGGAAGACTGAAGGATGGAGGAGGCAATTTCTTCCAATGGCCCAGCCAAGGAGGAGGCAACCACTCCAGTACCACTGCTGGAGGAAGGGGTCAGAGATCGTTCTGGTCTGAACAGGGGCTGCAGGTGGCTTTGGAATGCACAGGATTTCACATCTTGATGTTCATCGCAATTTGTTTGGAGTGCGTGTTTCTGGTACAGTTAGTCCTGTATAATAGGGAGGAAGAAGTGTGTGAGTGTGTCTATTTGCAGTGGGAGAGAAAGGTCAGTTGCATAAGCAGAACTAGCTGAGACTAAATATTTGCAAAGGTCATTCATGACCAGGTAGCCCAGAGAGGTTCTTTTGGAAAACAGGATGTGGTAAGGAAGGCCCAGTCTATGCTTTCAGATGTGAACAGGTGGTAAGAGGACCAAATGATGTGACTGGCAAGGCCCCTACTGCCTCTTATGCATGCTATAGAAGTCTCTGACTCCCGGGCAGAGAAGCTACACCATGGTCATACCCAATGGCTTACACACCAGCCCAAAGGATCACACTAGATCTCATTCTTAGAGGCCAAGTGGCCAGTTCCCTCTGTACCTCATGGCCCTCCACAGTTGTTTCTTCACTCTTGTGATTTACTCATAAGCCATACTCCTGCGATTTTGCATCCAAATATTTGTGGGCACACCCCAAATCATGCATGTCCTAGAGAGTCTTTGCTCAACCCCTCAACTCTCCTATGTATGAGCTTTCACACTAATTCATGACCAAGTGGAGACTGCACAGGTAGCGTCCAGGAAGCGCTGGCCTGTCAGAGTGAGACTGCTGCACTATTCCCTGGGGGGTTGCCCCAAGACAGTCCAACCTCAAGCACACACAGAAATGGTCAGGGCAGGGTGTGACTGCCCCATGGCTCAGGAAAGGCACCACCGTTTCAGTTCAGCTAACGTTCTTACGGCATCTTTAGGTGAACACTTAGATCACTGATTTTCAACCATTCTTTTTAACTCTATGAATTTATGGTTATAAATTTCCCTCTGAGCATAGCAGCTATAGCTGTGCCCTCAAAAATTTGATGTTTCATACACTTATTATCATTCCATTCCAAACATTTTCTTACTTTTGTTGTGACTTCCTCTTTGACCTGAGGGTTATTTTAAAGCATATCACTTAATTTCCAAACACTAGGGGATTTTCTAGTTATGGGATATTACAGTTTCCCATCTTATTTTATTGTGGTCAGAAAACATTTTCTGGAAGATTTCAAACCTTTGCAATTTGTTGAAGGTGGCTGTATGGCCCAGGATGTGGTCAGTTGTGTAAGTAGTGCACACTATTTAAAAAGAATATGTGATTGGCAATTGTTGGATATAATATTTCATAAATATCCATTATGTCAGATTTGTCACTATTCAGATCTTTTATATCTTGATTTTGTTTTCTTCTTGTTCTACGAATTTGATATAAAGTAGTTTTAATACTTCCTATGATTTTGGATTTTTCTATTTCTCCTTGCAGTTTCATATTTTGCCTGTCCTTTTTTTTTTTTTAGATTTTATTTATTTATTTTTAGAGCTAGGGGAAGGAAGGGAGAAACGGGGAGAGAAACATCAATGTGTGGTTGCCTCCCAAGTAGCCCTTACCAGGGACCTGGCCTGCAACCCAGGCATGTGCTCTGACTGGGAATTGAACTGGAGACCCTTTGGTTCTCAGGTCAGTGCTCAATCCACTGAGCCACACCAACAAGGCCTTGCCTGTCTTTTTAAAAAAGGTTATTTTACTATTTTGAAGCCACAGTAATGGGAGCATACAAATTTCTAATTATATCTTTCTTCATAAAATTATCCCTTTATCTTTGTGAATTGACTGATTTTATTTCCAGAAATCATTTCTCTCTTGAAACATTTTCCCCATTAGTACAGCTATATCAGCTCCCTTTTGGTTAGTGGTTGCACAACATAACTTGTATTCTTTTACTTTCAAGTTTTCTATATCCTTTGTGTTCTATTTGTACTTTATAAACATAATTTTAATATAGTCTAACATTTCTGATATTTTGATTAATCCTTTACTTTACAGCCATCACTGATATCAGTGTCCTTACATCTACCATCTTCTGTGCTGTTTGTTCTGACTATTTCATGTTCTTTTCTTGCCTTTTTTTGGATTGGATGTTTTTCCCTATTCCATTTTAGCCCTTGGTTAGTTTTAAAGTGATTATACTGCTTTTCTCTTATTTCAATGACTATTCAAGAAATTTCAACATGCATTTTTAACTTATCAAAATCTGTTATAACTCCTAAAGAGACCATCTTTCTAACAGTGCCAATCCCTATGACAGTGCTCACACACTATCTATGCTAAAAGATAACATTTTAGGAGGAGAGAAGATGGTGACGAGGTAGGAGGGAGCAAAATCCACTTCTCCATACCCATGGGAGAAAAACCTAGCCAATCTACAGAGGAACAGAGCAAACAGCCAGCGGTACGATAGCATATATGAAAATAGGAGATCAAAAATTGCAGCAGACATTGAAATACCAGATGGTAAGGAGAGTGCTTCAGGACAAGGATTGAGCAGCACCAGGGGAGACCTGGTTGCTTGAAGGCACGGAGAGGGGAACGAGGACTGAGTGGCAAACACACAGGGGCTGTGAGCACCCACGCATAGTCCTGGGAAGAGTGCGTGCCCCAGCCCTGCGACCAAGGGCGGCCTGATTATGCACATCCTTGCCCCTAACCTGAGGAGGGTGTGCTTTGTGGAAGACCTGGAGCCCACACCCGTAAACCTGGGGAAAGCACGTGCTCTCCGCAGGAACCCTGGAACCCACAACCATAAACCTGGGGAGGGCACGCGTGCTCCATGGGAGCCCCTGAGCTCACACTTGTGGACCCAGGGAGTGTGCACGCTCATCGGGAGACCAGGAGCTCACACCCATTAACCTGGGGAGAGGGCACTTGGGAGGGCCCGGATCCCACATCCAGGGCCCTGCAGACAGGCGTCAGGCTAGTTCTGGGGTAGGCTGACTGAGTGCTGAACAGGAAGGGAGAAAAGCCAAACCAATCATTCCTCAGCCTGCTGCAGCCAGCAAGACCAAAAAAAATGGTTTGCCCAGTTTGAAACCAACAAGAGGATTTTGTTTGTTTGTTTGATTTTGTGGGGTTTTTTAATTTTTAATTTTTTAATTTTTATTATTTTTATATCTCTCAATTCCTTTTCCTTCTCTTTCCTTCTTTCTAGTTTTATTGCTTCTTCCCTTCTTTCCAATTTTATCTCTTCTTCCTTCCTCCTTCTGCTTTTTTTTCTTTCTTTTTTTTTAAATACCCACAAGTGACACAAAAAAACCTGAAACTGTGAAAAGACGCAAACTGTTGGACCCAAACAGGGGGCATCACAACAGCTGAGACAATGGGACAAATTTCACTTTACTATTACAAAGAATCTGCAAGTTATTGCATATTTGTATTATTATTTTTTCATTATCCTTACATCTTTTATTTTAATAGTATTTTGGTATTCCTCCTCTTTCTGTATAGCCTTCTTTGCTTGGCTGGTTATATTCTATCATTTGACATGTTTCCCCTGTTATCTCATTCATAGAGTCTTGCTAATTTACTGTCCTTTACTTCATTTCATTTGTGTTCCATTAGCACACTACTCAAGGTTCTATACTCCCTATTCTTGTTATCTAGATCTCATAGATTCTGTCAAATGATTGTTGTTCCAATATTACTGTAAATAATAGCTATTCCATACAATTGTAAATACTACACAACACCCCCCCAAGACCTTAGCCCACTTCACAGTTTACTGAAATCTATTCCTGTAGTGGTTAACTCTATTCTCTCAAGCACTACACCTATTTGCTACCCTTTATTCTCACGATACCTCAGAATCTGACTTCCCACAACCTCACTCCTTCTAGATGCAACTCACAATCCTTTCCTCCCCAACAAGAGTCCTATCTTCATTCCATCCTTTCTAAAATGTGGCTAATTGGGTGAAATATCATGGTTAACACTATACATAGCCAAAGGATCTCCTATCTCTTCTCTACCAACTGCTACTGTAAATATCATAGAATACTCTCTTGCTGTCTCAAACTATTTTGCCTTACCCCTCCAACTGATCACAAAAAAGAGTAGGGGGAAGCTGTGAACACCAGGATACCGGAAAGAGACTGCACTACTGAATCTCACAGGTATTCTACCACAGAAGTTCACACCATAAACCCAGGGAGCCAAAAGAGATCAATTTAAGAAGCAGAGGCTAACAAGAAGAGTCTCACAAACAATGAGAAGACAAAGAAACAACCCCAAATGAAGAGAAAGGAGGAAGCCTCAGAAACAATGCTAAATTAAACAGAGGCAACTCAACTATCAGATATTGACTTCAAAGCAATGGTTATCAGGAAGCTCAATGAGCTCACAATGAGCTACAAGAAATTACAGGGAAACTACAATGAACTCACTGCAAACTATATCAACATGAAAAAGTAAATAGAAACTATCAACAAGGGCCAAGAGGAAATGAAGAATACAATTTCTGCACTGAAGAACACAGTAGAAGGAATGAAAAGCAGGCTAGATGAAGCAGAGGATTGGATCAGCTAATTGGAAGACAAAGTAGAAAAAAAAACACCCAGAAAAAGCAAGAAAAGGAAAAGAGGCTCAGAAAGAATGAAGAGGGATTAAGAGAATGCAAGACAATATGAAACATAATAATATCCGTATAATAGGGATAGCAGAAGGAGAAGAAGAGCAAGGGATAGAAAACCTATTTGAAAAAGTAATGGTGGAAAACTTCCCTAATTTGATGAGAGAAAAAGTGACACAAATCCAGGAAACACATATTCCCAATCAAGAGGAACCAAAGAGGCCCACCTCAAACACATCATAATTAAAATGGCAAAATTTCAAGACAAAGGGAGAATCTTAAAGGCAGCAAGGGAGAAACAGGAAGTAACATACAAGGGAGCCCCAATAAGGCTAACCTTAAAGCTAGCCCAATAAGGCTAAAGCTAACAGCTGACTTCTCAATGGAAACACTCCAAGCCAGAAAACAATGGCAAGAAATATTCCAAGTAATGAGAACCAGAGGTCTGCGATCAAGGCTACTTTACCCAGCAAGGCTCTCAATCAAGACAGAAGGCCAAATAAGAAGCTTTCCAGACAAGTCTAAAAGAATACACCTCCACCAAACCAGCTCTGCAAGAGATGCTAA